CCGTTCACCTGCCTCCCACGTCCAATCCTGGTACGATGAAGTGAAGGACTACACCTACCCCTACCCTCATGAGTGCAATCCCTGGTGTCCAGAACGTTGCTCTGGGCCAATGTGCACTCATTACACCCAGGTGAGACAAATACAAGAAAAAAGTTTGTCATCTTTGTTTGAAGCCCACAATTAACTCTGCATAGCATAACACAACTGAATCTCTGACTTAAGTGTTGGTGGTCAAGTCAGAATGTGGGTAATGTAGGCACCATATTTGGACAAGTAAAAAGAATACATGAAATTTCCACTGCACCATCTGCTGCATTGGCAGTCTGACAGTTTAAATTTAAGCTGGTGGACTGCTCTTTTAAGAAATCCCTGAGCAGTAACTTATAAACCTGCTCTTAACTTGATCAATTACTACAAGAACCTGCAAAGTTTGATAACTTGATGCAAATAATTCAAGAGAAGGGACAGAAAAAAGTTTGTTTTTTTTAAAAAAAAGAAAAGAAAGAAAGACACTCAAAAGAAACAGGAATGAATGAGCCTGCCTCATCCTTCCCCAGACATTACTTTGTGGATGTTGGGATGAGTTTACAGAAACATTTAGACTCCTCCCTGAAACCTGATCGCTGCCATCTGGTAGTCATTTTCATCCCACCAGACATGCCACACCATTTGACCTGGATTCTTTTGAAGATGCTGCAGAGTGGGCAATGCCAAGTCTGAGCATCACCACCTTTTCTCTGTAAGTGCTGATACACGTGCAGTCCAGGCAGTCAAACCACATTTTAATCGCACTGTCCTGGATTACCAGCGCTCACCAGCTGACTCACTGCTTCCACTGAACATTCCTGAAGGGGGACAGTGCACGTTTGGGAGGAAAGCTTGGAGACGCTTTCAAATATGATGTCTTGTATTCCCTGTCAAATGGCACATCATTCATCTGCAACACCACTGCAGGAGCTTTCCGTTTCGTGAGCTGTGTTATTTTACTGTGGACAGTTCTGGGGCTTGGAGAATTTCTTTCCAAGTTAAGATATTAAAAACTGACATTTCCTCCTTCTAACTGGATGATGAAAATACTTGGAAATCCCAAAGGCCTCATTAGTTATAACTGCCTAAATAGGCGCTTCCTCTGGAATGATGGTGGACCTATCGGTTGTGAGGAAAGAGAGGCAACAAATCTAGGTTACAAGATCAACTGTTTACTTTTCTGTGTGTCCTTTCGGAAATTGTACGTGCTAATGTTTGCCATGTACTTTCCCCTCCCCTTTTACAGCTGGTGTGGGCAACTACTAACCGAGTGGGCTGCGCTGTGCACGTGTGCCCAAGGATGAACGTGTGGGGAGAAATATGGGAGAATTCGGTTTACCTTGTGTGCAACTATTCCCCAAAGTAAGATCAGTATTCCTCCATGCTGTACTGATCGTTAACACCTCTGGTCTCCAGGCTCTTGTTTACATACCTTCTCCTTACAGGGCTCACAAAAGCTGCATTTTGAGTTGTTAATATAGTTGTACTGTAGATAAGAAACACTAGCTGTTCAAAACATTCATATGACATATTGTTGCCATTAAAATTCCTCCAGAAGTCAGAGTAAAAATAGTAATTATGAAGTACGGGGAAAGAAAATAAGAGCAGAGTAGGAGTTTGTTTTCCAGACAGACTATACGATGTAATTGCCTTAGAGACAAAGAGGAGTGTTTTTCCTACAAGGTCACGAACCCAGTGACGTTGACTCATGGTTAATTTCCACCTTACTCAAGACACCCATTGTTCAAAATTTCTGCAGGGGCAACTGGATTGGAGAGGCCCCATACCAGCATGGCCGACCTTGTTCCCAGTGCCCTCCAAGCTATGGAGGAGGATGCAGAAATAACCTTTGCTACAAAGGTGAGCGAACCCACACGATTTTCACTCAGTCATTTTAACATTAAACTGGTTACCAAGCTGAACCCTATCTGTCCTTTTACAGACTCTCAGCAGCCAGAGATTGAAGACATGAACGAGGTGGAGAAGCCTCAGGTCCCACTGCCACCCCGTACCACTGCCAGACCTAAAACTATTGCTCCAAAGAAACCTGTGTCCAGACCCTCCAGTCCCAAGAACACTAATCCCAGGACAACGCCTTCAAAAACTCCCAGCAGCACTTTTCTTGGTAGCTATAGCAACTGTATACCTATCAAAATCATCATGAATTTTAATATTTTACACTTTTTAATATGTTTTTTTTCCCTTGCAGCTCACAATATTAAGTGTGAGACAAGACTGCGAGATAAGTGCCGTGGCTCAACCTGCAGCAGGTGAGATTATTTCGGTCTGTTTTCATGTAAAATTAGTTTAATAAGATAACACACTTTGCAGTATCCACTCACTGTGGTGGCCAACTTGTTTTCTGACTATGCAGATTCAACTGTCCTGCTAACTGTGTGCAAAAGAAAGGAAAAGTTTGGGGAACTGTCACTTATGATGTGGTGAGTCTGTCCTGTATGAAACAAACTTACCGCATCATGCAGCAGTTTATAATGGGACTATAAACGTGGTTTAGTCTGGACGACAACATATAAGGCACTAAATAATATCTCATATGTATCCTGTATGTAAAATAGGCTTCAGGACATCCAACTATTAGGTTTTTCCTAAAATTCCTGTTTTATCATTTGTCCTAATTTAATGAGTGTTGTTTTCACATTTTTTAAAATTCTTTTCTCGCATTATGGAATTAAGAGTTTTGCTTTGCTATTTTTACAGGATTTTCACCCAGCGTTTGTTTTTCATTGTTTCAGCAATCAAGTATTTGCCGAGCTGCTATCCATCATGGTGTGATTGACAACAACGGAGGACTAATTGATATCTCCAGAATGGATAAGTTACCATTCTTTGTCAGATCTACAAAGAATGGCATTGAGTCTTTCAGGTAGATATATGTACTCTGAAGGGAACATGTAGGAAACAAATGTGCCTGCTTCTGTGATTAACACCGTGAAATAATTTGGTTTCGGAAGGCTTTACAGGTTTCTAATTTTGATGTGTTTTACAGTAAATATAAAGCTGGAAATGGCTTCACAGTGGCCAGAGTGAAAGGTAAGTGAAGCACTGCTTTTGTTCGGAGGAGCTTTGAGTCACGATTGTGTGCTGATTTGCACTACTTTCAGATATATATTAGAGTTTTAAGTGATTTTCTTTTCTCTCTCTCTGTGACAGAAATGACAGCTGATTGTTACACCACAGTGGCTGAAATCTGCCCTTACAAAGAACCAAACTCACACTGTCCAAGGTGTCACCACACATCCAACATTTGATTACTCAAAAACAGTAGATGACATATTTAATGTTTGTCCTCTCAGATAAAAAGTAAATTAAAGTAAATGGACACTAGGTGTTTGTATTAGTTATTTACATTACTGTACAAAGGTTCTGAGGCACCCCACATTTCTTTATATTTTGCTAGGAAATTGGGAAATAGTTTCTTGAAACTTGTGCAAACATTTTTTTTTCTGATGAGCTGCAAAATCAAAATTTGGTATGAGCACCTTCATTCTTCAGCATACATTAATAGTTTAACAAACAATAAATATATCCCCCTGAAGATTGTCGGGTAAAAGGACATGACTGAAAATATGTTAAAACAGCCCAAAGAAAATCAAGAACAAGAACAAACAAGAAAGTCTGGCTCCTTGGAAGCGAAATATGAAGAAGGGTGGGAGGGGTGGCCCAAGACTTTTGCACAGCACTGTATGCATAGCAAATAAATAGTTTTGAATTTAATATAATGCAGTTGAAAATAAAATGTAAATGTTTGTCTTTTTGCCAACTACATCTGTTAACTGAGAATACAGGAATGCTAAATGAAAGTGCTAAAATATTACCACTTATTGAAGAAACCCCTCCCCTAGCAAAACATCTTTCTATGACTCTTGTCTGTCAGATTTATACTCAAGTGCAATTTGTTTCTCAGAGTCTTCTGTCCAGAGAACTGCAAGGCTCAGCCCTCATACTGGTCGCCTGTTATTGGAAACAAGATTTACACAGATGTAAGTAACACTAGCTTCCAATCTGTATCTTATGAATTAGGGGGTAATAAACCACAATCAAGTAAATTTATGTTTCAGTTTGTGCAACTAATACACGACCTACCTGCTGGTGTGTACTTTTATGTGCTTTTAAAGTGTATGTTTTATTCCAGTAATGCTGGGATGGTAGGAATAAAAAATAATAATAATTAGCTGATTGTTTATTATAACTTCTTGGCCTCCTCAGCAAAAACGGGGAGATGTCTGAATGATTATGTCTGCATAATTATGTTGCATGGCCATGAACAACAGCTGAATCATAGGATCATGGAGAATTAGAGTAATGATAAGACAAACCGCAGACTTTTGGAATGTGTTTGACACTATAGGGCTTTACCACTCAAGCATTATCTCAAAGTAAGTGCCTCTTTTTCACTGAAGAAGACACAGAAAGAAATACTCTTAGGAAGACTGGTTTAGAATATCCCTCTGAAGTGACTTAAAAAGGTGTTTACAGTGGAGAGGACACTGTAAAGTGCCCTTCAGACTAAACATATCAGATGTAAAATGTAAAAGCTTTTATGTTACTTTCAAAGTTTATTTTAGAGCCGCTAATCTGTGAATTTACATGAGGTCAATGCTGGGTTTAAAGAGCTTAACCACTGATGAAACTGACTCTTAACCAGATCACAGGTCCTCTGAGGTCCTGAAACAAGCACACTGACTCATAACAAATGTCCAGCACCCAGGAATGCTTTGCAATCTGAGGCACCCACATCTGTTTCCACAGTGGTGTATAAGCTGAATGTTGGTTAAACATGAGGCATAAACTGTCTGGTTACAATCTCTGGTAGGGTGTATGGACAGTCTGATCTATGTTTGGAGTAGAAATGATTGATTGTACTCCAAACTGTTGATAAGAGCTCATGGTCTGTTTTGCAGGAGCCATACTGGCTCGGACTCTACTCCTTGAGTCTGTGTGTGTGTGTAAGTGTGGTTGCTGACGTCTTTCTGTAAAATATATTTTATGCTGTATTAAACAATTATTAAACTGAAGTAATGTTTGCACAGTGAAAAAGTGGTTTTCCATCTTTTTAAATCCTCTCTCAGGTTCACCATATCTTCTCTTCACAGAACTCCAGCATTTGCAAAGCGGCCATCCATGCAGGCGTAATCAAACCCAATGGCGGCTTTGTTGATGTTTTGCCTCTGGACAAGAGAAAGAGCTACACAGGAATTCTGAAAAATGGCATCCAATCTGAAAGGTACTGCTCCACAGGGATTTTAGAGATTACTATTATTCCAGACAACTATGTTTAAAATGTAGCCCTTTAAACAAGCAATTGCCAACAGCGAGGAGTAAAAACTCCTTTTTAACAGGGAGAACGCTTCGGCAGATCCAGGCTCTGTTAGGGGCAGCCATCTGCCACCACTAGTTGGAGGTCAGGGGGGGAGTTAGGATAGTAAAAAGGCACACACGTTTCTCCCCTGTCTGGAGAAATGTCCCTTATGAGAATTCCCTAAACTGTAAGCTGTACAGAGATGAGTTTCTTAGTGTTTCTTATAGGAGGAGTTAATTTAATAAAAATCAAATGAAAGTTAATCGAATGTGGAGTTTTATATCAAATTTTGTATAAAGTGTAGTCACCAAAAAGTCAAATGCAACTGAAATAAAAACCAGAAGCTTGCTGAAATTTAGACAAGTAAACTGTCCAAGAGAGTCTGAAATAGAACAAGGCACTTTTAGCTGCTCCCTTATTTCGAATGGGGGCACCACATTGGATTTGTCCACATGTCTGTTTTGGCCCCAAATTTTACACCGGATACTTTTCCTGATACATCTCTTCCATTTATCCAGGTTTAGGACCAGACCTGAGATTACATTAGCTCAAGACCCCATGAGACTGGGTTTGTGTCTCCTCCCAGTCTTAAACTGGGAATCTGTCGTGTTTAAGGTGAATGTGTTAACCATTACACCTTGGAGCTGTAAATGAGACTATAAAATATGCCAGAGAAAGGTGCTTTTATTCACTATACCCTATCTTGATTTATGTGCACTGTAATACTGCAAGTAGTGGGTTCCCTGCATGCACACCATGCTTCTCAAATCAGTCTCACATCTGTGGCCGGCTCCAGTGGACTAAGCTCAGGCAAAGAAGCCCTTGTGGCCAGTTCTAGTGGCATATGGGGTTGTAAGAGTAATGGTGTGGTTTGGTGTGTGGACGGCCCACACATGGGACCTTTGCTTACTTTACTCAGGCATTTCAATTGAGTGTGCAAAGTGCTGAATGGTCAAAAGCATGCCAAGTCTTATTCTCTGAAATCTAATGCAGAGCTGTGAAGGTTTCACTCGGGGCATTCGGATAGGAGGTCAGTAGATGGCTGAGAGAGAGTCTGTGCCATGTGCCAACATCATGGCAGGGTGGGCAGTTTGGATTGCTGGGGAAGTAATCACATCCTATCCAATTACTCGAGGTTGGAAATGCTGTCAGCCACTTAGAGTGCTTTCCTATATGGACAATTATCTGTGATTAGATACCAGTTGCACTGACCAATCATGATTATCTAGCATGGCAAGACTTTGAGATATTTCCACTAATGAACAAATTACAGCCGTCCAGTTCAACACATGAGGTAATTGGAAGATTCAGTCACAGAAATATAAATACAATGAGTGATTCAGCAAATGTGTCCTTTTCCCCATTAATGTATCATGTGCACCATGACTGTGTGCTTTTGATGGCTCTGATTGGTTGAGGAACTGGAGGGGTCTCATTTGACTTAAAGGAGCACATAAACTCACAAGAAAGCAAGATTATACCACATTTGCTCCTTCACCTTTGATCAGGCTTCTGAAATCTGCTTCTCAGAATTTTGAAAAAACATGCTTTTTCATGGTGTAGTGATAAAATTAACACTTTTTTGTCATGTCCATTTGCAGCAGAAGCAACATGGAGGGAGGATCCTTCCGAGTCTTTGCTGTGAGGCAGTGAGACTTAAGTTCAGTAATCTGAAGACCAACAGAGTCACCTCAGCTGCTCTCGAAGAGAAGAAAGTGCCCATAGCTTTGATGCCATGGCTGTTTGTCTGTCCCATCTGACTGACAGAAACTTTCCCCACTCAGTTAACAAACAGTAGTCATACAGTAAAATCCATCCACTCATCCAACACATTGATAGTCCTTCATGTTTCTTCATCTTTTCTTAGACTTACATAATCTGTGAATACAGAATTTTTTTTATAAATATATTATAAAAAATGCATTGAACAGCTGGTGCTGGAAGTTTTGAGTTACAAAAAGCAATATGTTTACATTGGTGTTCTTATTACAAGTGTCATTTGTTTTTCATACACAGGAATGTATCCAGATCACACTGTATTTAATCATTGTGTACAGAATATATTATATTTTGTTTGTTTTCAAAGAAATAATAACATGTTTAAGTTCTAGCCATTTAAAAAATATATAGCCTTCTTCTTCATCATTGCTTTTCTAATCCTTAGCAGTGAAGTCCAAGTTTAGTGTGAGCAAAGATGTTTTGTTGGGTTTTTTTGACCAGAAATTTTGAAGCAGATACAAATATTCTGCGAAATGAATGTGTATAAAGGCAGCAGGCACTGCTGGAGAGAAGTAATAGAAGACTAGTGTTGCTTCAGTGCCTGCCATGTGGAGGTGTTCGGTTAATGGAGAGCTGATGTAGGTGAGACAGTTTGTGCACTTATAATAATAAGTAGTAACATCCCAATTTATATTTATTAACTGCTTAGTGCTTTCTTCTTTTCTTTCTTTCTAATAAATATATTTCATGAAAATGCTAAATGCCCCCCCCCTTCCCACGTGAGACCGTTGAATGTGTTGCATGTTTCAGGTACAAAGAGTGCTTTTTGTTTAGAGACTGGACAGTGTTGTGAAGGTTTGACACTAACACTGTGCAGAACACACAGGAGACAAGTGTAATATCTCTCACCATAGTGGATTAAAGCACGGTTGCGTTTGGTCAGGTCTGATTAATATTTTTGCTCTGTACCCATCTTCATCCCATTTAGCCTGTTTAACCTACCTGCTGGTTTTCTTCTTTTCCAACTTCCTGTCTCTTTATCCTACCTCAGTCCTATCGCTGTGCTTAGTATTTAGATCTTTTCTATGTGGGAATTTTGTCGAAAACGCTAAAGGTTTTGTAAAGTTGTGGGATCTGTAAATACGAATATTTTTGTTTTTGAATCATCTTTATACAGTAAGATTAAAATTAAGTAATTGTGTGAATTTGTTTCAATTGTCTTGGATGTATTGCGTTTATACAGGTTTAGGATGCCTTCTATACTTTTTGCACAGTTTGAAAATCGAGTGTCTTACAAATCCCAATGTACACAATTCTTTTTTTCTTTTAAATTAAAAAGTCTTGTCAAATATGATATTTCAGAAATCATTACGCATCATGGGTGTTATTTTGTGATTTTTGTGTGTCTTTGTGAGCAATAATATTTGAAGAATGAGCCGCTTTACTAAGTAAAGGATAATATCCATATCCAGAAAAGTGAAGCAACCCTTTGCTTACTCTTAGCTACATAAGGTCCTGACTTCATGACCATGAAATGTTACAAGTCTGGCTTTAACTGGTGTCCACAGTAACGTGGTTGAAACCAATGCCCGTGCAGATTGCAAAAAAATGTATTTTAATAAGATCTTGTAACTGTATTAAATGTACTTTGGCCTCAATGTTGGACTAAAATCTGTGTGACATGAATTATGAATGAAATTTAGATCCAGGCCACCCAGGATTTGTCCATTATCTTTGGAAGAATATAACTGACCATGTTCACAACCTGGCTCTGCTTCTTGTGGGCACAAGCACAATGGGCGGAGCGAGCAACACAAATAGGGATCACTTCTCACGGACTTACACATAATCTGCCAATAGGGTCTTAATAATACAGGAAAGAAGAAAGAAAGAAAGAAGTCTGTCTGCATGACTATAATCATCCTGTAATTCCAATTTAAAAATCAAGGCCAAAGGTCATGTGTTATTTATGATTGGGGTAAAGGTGGCTGAATGGAGAAAGAGGGAAAAACAATCTTATAAGCAATAATAACTCCTCATAACCCCAGGGGTTATATGAGAGGCAGATGTTCAGTTTCAGTTAAGCCCTCGTTGGACAGGACCCTGACTATCCTACTGATAAACAGCTGCAACTGGCTTGAGTGATGACTGTTTTACTCCCATTGTCAATGGAGATAATTTGTACTCACCCAGTAAATCCCCTGTCTGCTAAGGGAAAAAGATTCCTGGTTTCAGACCAACTTTATGCTTTCTTGTGCTCAAGAAGTGCTTTGCAAACAGGCTGTTTTGTTGCATCACAAAGGACTCCTAGGGTAAAAGCAGAAGAATCTCATTTGTTTGTTGCTGCAGACATTAAGACACCTGAAGGGTTAAAACTCACAAATACACTCTATTTTCCTCGTACAGATGTACAAACAGTGCATATTACTTTCTGCCTCTACTGGCATTTTCTCTTGTGTTGCGATTTTGTAACTAACCGACTCTAATAAACTTTATCAGTATCAGTATCATCATTTTAAGCTCCAGTTTAAAACTTGAGTCTTCCATAAGACAAGAAGTGGGGTACACCCTGGATAGGTCGCCAATCTGTCACAGGGTCAAGACAAAGAGACAGACCAACTTTCACAGCTAGGGGCAATTTAAAGTCACCAGTTAACCTAACCCACTAACTGCATGTCTTTGGACTGTGGAAGGAAGCCAGAGTTCCCAGAGAGAAGTCACGCAGACATGGGGAGAACATG